CCTGCTGAGCAGCACGCCGCTGGCTCAGTTCCCGGAGGTGAAAGGCCCTGTGTGCCAGTACTCTGCGCAGGACTCTTTCTACAAGCTCAGCCCCCAGGGGCTGGGCCCCCAGCTGCCCGCCGGCACCCCGCACGGGATCACAGACATCCTCAGCAGGCCCGTGGCCGCGCCGAACAGCAGCCTCCTCTCCGGCTACCCCCACGTGGCCGGCTTCGGTGGGCTCGGCTCCCAGGGGGTCTACTACGGTCCCCAGGTGGGGAATTTCTCCAAGGCGGGGAACGAGTACCCCACCCGGACCCGGAACTGCTGGGCGGACACGGGCCAGGACTGGCGAGGTGGGCGGCCATGTGGCAACAGTGAGTACGGGGATGGGGGGTGACGGGGGGCGGGAACGGACGCTCACAGGGGTCCTCGGCCGCCATCTGACAGCCTGGGGCAGACCCCAGGGTCCGGCCCTCCACCTGGTGCAGCACGGGCTTCTCCCCTCCCCATCCCACCCCGGCTTCACTCAGATGGGTGTCTTGACCCCCGCCCTCACTCCTCACCAGCTGCCCTCCTGGGGAAGCCGGGGTCCCAGGAGACCACACGGCTCACCCCCACCCTGTGTACGGTCCTGCTCACCTTCCGTCTCCCGCCCAGAGCCCGTGTCACCACTTCGTCCAAGCAGGCAAATGCCGTCCCCAGCGAGAATCTGCCATTGCATCACCTTCCCAGAGCCCCCCGCTCGTGCGCCGGCAGCACTCAGGGACACAGAATGTACCCTGAACCCATCTCGGTGCCGCTGCCATCAAGGGGGCCTGCTTCCCTCCTCGGGGTTTATGTCAACAACAGCACCCGTACCACCCAGCCTCCGCAAGCAGCTGCTGAGTCCAGCCCCACTGGGGCCTCGCTGTCGGGGGACCTCACCCACCCATCCCCAAACTGTGGTTTTCAGAGAGTTGGTCCGGGGCCCCCAGGATGCCAGTCAGACCTGGAGGTGGCAGGTCGTGGACAGGCAGGGGAGCGTCACCCGGGAGGCAGGGGGAGTGACAGTGGCTGCAGGAACCACCCCTGGGCCCGGATCAGGCAGGGGCAGAGGGGGCCTCCACTTCCGTCCCACCTGGGGGCTCCTCCACTGGCACAGGGGCTTGGGGCGGTCCAGGAAAGCCCGAGGCACACCTGCCTTCCGCCCACTATGCTGTTCGGGACCCTCACACCCCTCGTCAGCCTGAAACACGGCGAGTCCCACAGGGGGCCGAGACCTCATCTCTTGGAAGCTATTCTATAACCTGGTTTGTGGGTGCTTTAGGCCTTGAGCTGTCCCTGGCTCTCACTTCCATGTCCCCCTACCCACACGCACCCCGTTTCCACACCCCTGCTCTTCAACCCCGAATGCACGTATACACACAGGGAAATATCTGAGGCAGTGGCTGGATTAACACAAGGTGGGGGGGACTGAGGGTGACAGCCTCTCAGGCCTCATCTCCCTTCTGTGCCTCAGCTTTCTCACCTGTAAAGTGAGGACATGGGGTGTGAGGATCGGCTGCACTGCACAAGGCCCTGCACGTGGGCATTCTGCTTCCCCTGGTCCCTATCCGCCCCCCACCCCCCCACGCCGAGCTCCCGAGAGGCTGCCCTGGCCGGGCAGGGGTCAGTTCCTGAGACTCTGCATCCAGACTCTCCATGGGGTTGAAGCCACATGACTACCAGGCCTGGTGGCAGGGGAGAGCAGTAACTTGGAGCTTAGGGTCCTAGTTTCCCGGAAACCTGGAAAACGGGATCTCAAGAGCAAGGAAGTGGAGGGACTCCCAGGCCCCTGGGGCCCTGACGGTTGGTGGAAGGTGCTAAATCCGTTTCTCGGTGACCTGAAAGAACATCCCTGAGACCCAGAGGAAACTCCTACCGCCCCTCGGGGTGTGGCTGCCTCACTGCGTAGCGAGGGCATTACACAAGGAGACCCAGTTCCAAGCATCCTCTGGCCCTAATCAGCTGAAACCTGGGGCAGGCACCCTCGGGGTCCCCACCCACCCAGACATGGCAGAGGTATGCTGCTTGGGTGAGAGGTGCCACCGTGCCCCTGCAACCTCAGCGGCTTCTCCGTACGGGCGCTCACCCTGTGGCAGAGGCGGGGCAGGGCTGGCACCCCCAGCCCCGCGAACCGCACACGTCCTTCCTCCCACCAGCCCCGGACCCCCTGAGCGACAGCATTCACAAGAAAAAGCACACCCGGCCCACCTTCACGGGGCACCAGATCTTTGCCCTGGAGAAGACCTTCGAGCAGACCAAGTACTTGGCGGGTCCCGAGAGGGCGCGGTTGGCATACTCGCTGGGGATGACCGAGTCGCAGGTCAAGGTGAGTGTGTGAGGGACAAGAAGGTGTCTGCCTGGCAGCGAGGAGCCCCACTCTCCTGGCAACCGCAGCTCAGTGGGAGGCCGTCCTGGTGTTTGGGCACCGCCTGCCCACCTAACCCTGCAGACGGTAATAATGACCCTAACGCCAACTGGCTGTCATCTCCTGGGCCCTATTCTGAGAGCCTTATGTGTAGCAGCCCATTTAAACCTCACAGCAACCTGGCGGTGGGCCTTATTACCCATCTTACAGGTGAAGAAACAATCTCAGCTGAGCCTCTTGCCCCAGGTCACCGGCTGGTAAGTGAGTACCCTGGATTAGAGGGCTCTAACCTCATGCCTTCCCCTCCTCTGCATGGTCGAGGCTAGACGTTTCAAGAGCTGATGGCAGCCTCTGGGCCGGATCAGAGCTGGCTTCAGGCTTGTTCCGTTAGCCAGGCAAATGAGCCCGCCTTTGTTCACCAAACTCGAAAGTGAAGATAACTCCTCTCCATGCCTGCCCATGAAGTCTGAGCCTCTTTGCTCAGCTCGGGGCAAGGCTCCCTCTCAAACTGCACACCTCGGGGCTGAGCTCGGTGGGTAAGGCGGCTTCTGACCCCTCAGGCTCCCGGGGGGACCCCTGGCAACTCTGAGGCTCACTGTTCCCTGAGGGGCTCTGGCGGGGGGCACCAAAGAAGCAAGCTCTGGGCTATGCTGTAACTGCCCGGCACTGTGATAAGGCGACGGGCTTGAGGGGAGAAGGAAGCACAGGGGCAGCTGGGGACCCTGGCCTGGGCTCCCTCAGGGCGCTGCATCTCCAGCCGGCCACCCCCCGGGCAGCTCCCTCCACCCAATGTTAACTCCCAAGGAGAGGAAGCACTGAGTCTAAGAGGAAGGCCTTTCCGTACCACTCCGCTTCTTGGGTCCTTTCTGCACGCTTCTGTCTCCAGTAATGAGCATGTGTTATTTTTATAGTTGGGGGGCAATGATTCATGAAGCTCAGTGAAGGTCTGTGAGGTTAAAAGCACATCAGCCCCTTCCACCCAAGTACTCAGATGGCGAAGGAGAGGCAGATACACCGCAGGGAGGGTTAGAGCTAAGACGAAATGGCTGCTGCACTCACATTTATTTTTATTTTATTGCCCCCCTCAGAAAAAAAAAGTAGTGTGACTATGACAGCCTAGTCCATTGCTGAACCATTTATTTTACGATCAACATGAGGCTGGTGGGCGGGCTTCCCTGGTGGCGCAGTGGTTGAGAGTCCGCCTGCCGATGCAGGGGACACGGGTTCGTGCCCCGGTCCGGGAAGATCCCACGTGCCGCGGAGCGGCTGGGCCCGTGAGCCGTGGCCGCTGGGCCTGCGCGTCCGGAGCCTGTGCTCCGCGACGGGAGAGGCCACGGCAGTGAGAGGCCCGCGCACCGCACACACACACACACAAAGATGAGGCTAGGGGGATACTTGCCACTGAGTGGAGCCGCCCTCCCCAGAGGGGCCCTGAGCGCGCTGCGTGCCAGCGTGATCCTCAGGGCCCTTCTCCTCCCAGGTGTGGTTCCAGAACCGGAGGACCAAGTGGCGGAAGAAGAGTGCCCTGGAACCCTCGTCCTCCACGCCCCGGGCCCCGGGCGGGCACCGCGCGGCCTCGGAGAACGATGACGACGAGTACAACAAGCCGCTGGACCCCGACTCAGACGACGAGAAGATCCGGCTGCTGCTCCGCAAGCACCGCGCCGCCTTCTCGGTGCTCAGCCTGGGCGCGCACGGCTGACCCCGCCGGCCTCTGGGTCCCCGAGGTCCCAAAAGGCTAATGGGGGGAGGGGGGAGGATGGAGGGGGAGAAGCAGGAGATGGAGGGGAAGAAGGGGGGGGAGGCCAGTCTCCTAAGGGAGGAGGGGGCAAAGAGGGAGACGTGAACTTGTCCTGAGACCGGCCACCCCTTCCGCCGTCTTGCACCTCTGTGGGCCCAGGCCTGGCCCTGCCAGCTCTGCAGAGTCTAAGTACACAGGTAGATGAAAAGCGATCAGACTCTGCGGCCAGGACACTGGCTGTGGGGTCCCAGACGCGCCACGGTGGCAGTTGCGGGGGCAGGGGAGCCTTCCCCCAGGGAAACCGTTGGCTCCGGCAAGGGTCTCCCCGTGGGCTGACTGCAGAAGAGCTGGCCTGTCCAGGGACCCTCCTCGGACCCTGGCACAGGAAGGATCCCACTTGAGGGGCCAGAGCCCCAAACCTAATCCAGGCGGGAGGAAACCCACCCCAGGGAGGGGAAGTGGGTCCCAGCAAAGAAGGAATACCCCTGACACCCCAACTCAAGGATCGTGCCCCTGGGGGGAGCTGTCCTCCTGTGACCCCGTCTCCACTCTGCCCTCAGTGGGGATCCCCCAACCCAGGACGGGAAGAGATTAGAAGAGCCCACTGGGGGAAGAGGCAGAGAGAAGGTGCATCCATGCTGCACCCCAGAGCCTCCCACCTGGGCTCCCCTCGGTGCCTGCCAGTGCAAGGAAAGGCTCTCCAGAGAGAAGGGAGCATCCCGCTGGGGAGGGACTCGGGGCAGGAAGGGACCTCAGAACCCCCTGTTCCTCCAATGGGGTACCCCCGCAGGAGAGGAGAGGACCTGGCAGGAGGGGCTCGCATGGAACCCACGACCCTCCCTTCCCTGGGGCACCCTGCAGCCTGGCCTTGGAGCTGGTGCTGCGGAGGGCACTGCCCAGCAGGTGGGAAGGACGGGGGTTGCAGCAGGCGGGGTGGGTGAGGCCCTAGAGGAATGCAGCACAAAAAGCACCAAGCAGTTGCCCAACTTCACTGGCTTTTAAAAAATAAAGGGTAAAAATAAAAGTCCCAGAAACCTCCCCATGGCTCATGTGTTTCCGAAGAACTGTCTGTGTGGTCCCAGGTGAGCCAGCTGCCCGGGGGGCCCCTCCGGAAGGCAGCGTCTCTGCCCCCAGGGGACAGGGCTCTGGGAATCAGGAAACCTGCAGGCATGGGTAAGTCTCAGTGGTATGCACGAGGCAGCGCCATAGTACAAAAACCCGAGAGGCGTTCAACGGGGTCCTTGACCTGTAGGAGCTCATGGCCTCATGGGGGACATTATCTGTGGGGAATTCGGTACCATAAGGAAAAGATCCCGGGGCAGAGAATAGCAGCGATGACAACGACTGAACACCTACTAACTCTTCCCACGTGGAAGGCCCGACTATGTCACGTGACCCCACCAGAAACCCGGGAGGAGGGATTGTCCCTCTTGCACGGATGAGAAAACACAGGCCCAGAAGGTACCTACACCAAGTTCCAGAAGTGGGATGAGGCCACCTGAGCTGACGCCCAGGCCCTCACATGTACCGCGAGGGGCAGTGCCTTTTACAGGCCTGTCCTGTAAAACCAGAGGCTGGGATGAGGTGTGCTTTCAGGACTTTCCAGCTGTAACCGTCTATGCCAGCTCCAGCAAAGCCTCCAAGCTGTGAGCAGCCTGCCCCCTTTGCTGTCCCAGCAAGTCCTTCTGTGGTCCCTTGGGCCCCAAAGGGTGGGAGAACTGGGCTGGTGCAGTCGGCCTGGAGCGGGAAGGAGGGTGGGAGGGAGACCCCAGCTCGGGGCCTCTTGGAAGCGGAGGCACAAAGCCTTCATCATAGCCCTACTGGACGCAGAGGATGGAGGGCCATAACAAGAAGATGTAGGATACTTTTGAGCTGTGATCCTCATTCCACAATGAGGACCACACTCGGTCTCTCTCCACGTAAGGTGGGAAGGAAATAAGGAAGCACCTGCCCTGTGTGCTCCTGGCCACAAGCTGACACGGGGGTCCTGAGCTGCAGCAGGCCGGACGGCCACCTGGGAGGACCCAAGGAGCCTCCGGGTACAGCCACAGAGACGAAAAACTCTGTGAGCCAGGCGGGGCCCAGGATTTCCTGAGCACTTTGAGGAGAGTCTGGGGCCTGCTGGCCAGAGGAGGCTTTCAACATAATGCAGGTGCAGAGTCACGAGGCAGGCGTGGGGAGAAGCCGGGGACAAGAAAACTGGGTTCGTTTGCCTTCTTCATAAGTGAATTACAATCCTAACACTATTATAGCTATAATTCTTGCATGTCTGATTCACATTGTCTGGGGTCAGTATTATATCAAGTGGAGGGAAAATTTTTTCCGCCAAGGAAACATTTGCTGAGCTAAACAAAACTTCCTCCAATGTCCAAGTTCTGGGACACCTGCCACTGGAACCTCTGGGTCAAGGCCTCCAGCCTTCCTGGAGTCCCCCTACCTCATCCCTGCTCCCAAGTATGGGGCCAAGCGAGGAAGAGGCACTGCTCAGGCCTCACCAAGGGACCAGATTCCCAGTTTGAAGGAGAGCCACAGGTGAATGGCCCAGACGCCCGAGGGTAATTTGGGATAAATTTTGCCCTCTGTGGATGCGTGCACACTCGTGTGCTGTGTGTGTGTGTGTGTAGCTGGGAGGAACTCAGGACTATTTCACTTCATCCATCATAAAGAAATCATAAGCCATAGCACCCCCCTTCTCTGCCATTCCTGGTCACAAAGGGCCTTCTTGTATATGCTGAGTTAAACAAAACTACACAACTTTAAGAATATTCATGCTTCTGGCAACTTCCCTCTGACCACAGGAGAAACTTTTCTCCTGTGGGATGAATAAAGAGAAAGACGTTCAGCCCTGGGCTCCTGAGAGCGACTGAGTCCTGCCCTGCCAGCAGCCCAGGAGGCTCCCAAGGCAGGCAAGAGTCTGCCCCGTCCACAGCCCTCCCGCTTGCGGCTTGCAGTATAGGAAAGACCTGACGTGTCCCGAGCAGGGCGGGGCTGAAGCTAGGGATGACAGTGTCTTAGCAGGTTCCGAATGGTCATATCCCGATGGCAACAATCAAAGAAGAGACTGGGGACTGAAATCGCACTGCTGGCAATCCTTCCTCCTTCTCAGCCACCCCCAGGATTTGAGCCCAGATACCAGCCAGCCCGAGTCTTTGCCTGAGCATGGCAGAGGTGACTGGGTTCGGTTAGAGCTGGGCTCGAACACTGGCATCACCACTCTCTGTGTCACTGGGCGAGTGACTTAACCTCTGAGCCTCAGTTTACTCAACTGTAAGATGGGAGTAATTATACATACCTCACACGGTCTCTGTAAGATCAGAACTCACGAGCATGCGTGGCATATACAGACACCCAACAGTATCTGCTATGTTATTTCAAGAGGGCTGTGGAGGCCAACAGTCCCGAGTCTGGGTCCCCATGTCACCAAGTAGTCGCTGGGTCACCGTGACCAAGTTAGGTAACCTCTTGAAATCCAGTCTCCTCATCTGTAAAGTGAAGCTGATATGGTTATCAGCAAGACCCAACAGAAGATGCACTGAAACCACCTGCAAGGTGTAAAAGCGGGTGGGCATTCCCATATCGGCGTGCTCACGCCCTCTCCTTCCTTCTGCCAGGAAGCGGCAGAGCCAGTCCTAAGCGGGTCTTCTTCACAGTGGGACAGGCAGGTTCAAGGTCACAGCTACCCATTCCTATAAGTACTCAAGCCCCGGCAGGTCAGCTGCTATCGGGAGGTTATGGAAGGCCTCGTGCGTGACCAGATTCATTTACCTGCCAAAAACCTGAGGTTCTGGACTCTGGGGCACAGAGTCAGGTCAGATGCTGAGGGCTGAATTCAGTTTGCAGACATGTTTCTTTGGGGGGCAGAACAGTGCATTTACAGAAACTTTAGCTGGTCTGTAGGCCGAGCAAGCCTGGTCCCGTGAGTGACCCTCACGATTTCCTGGCACATGCCCTGGCCTGGTCCCCACAGGGTCCATCCCCTGCCTGAACCCTGAAGGCATGTGGGTCTATACGTCCTGCTCTGAAGCCTCAATACCCTAAGATATGGTCCATGGACGAGCAGCAGCAGCCTCCCCTGGGCACTTGTTAGAAATGCAGACTCTCAGGTCCCACCTCAACCCTCCCGAATCCAAATCTGCGTTTGTAGCCAGATCCCCAGGTGGTTTGTAGGCGCGAGAAGATGGACGGCAGGTATGACCGTGTGAGTGTGTATGGACAACCCTCCTTTTCTCAGAGCACAGAGCCTGGCCCAAATTAGGTGCTCAATAAAAAACTGTTAGATACATAGAGATGCACTGACCTAAGTTGGGCTTTCTATCCCATCACCAAATGCCCATGGGGACCTGTGCTTCTGAAATCCCCCTTTCTCCTTTGTCAGCCACTGCTAACAGTTGCCCCCTACATCTCGGCTCTGGGACTCTCTGAGCCTAGTCTCGCACCTGAGGTGGCTCTGGCCTTGCCTGGGAGGCCTGTGTGTGTGCCTTGTAGCAGCTGCTTTCTTGTCCCCAGAATGAGCTCTTCTTTTGCTCACAGTCAGGTTCCAGCTGTGTTTTACGTGGTTTCAAATGCTATGAATCTACGCACCCAAGGTCAAAACTCCTTGTCTTTTCATTCTAAGGCCAGGGCTGTGTCAGCTGCCAGGTGTATGAGGACCTGAAAGTTACAGAGGACACAAGAGGACTAGATGAGGTCCCCTCATCAAAGGCTCACTGATCAAGTGCACTGCAGTGCACGATTACAGTGAACACCGTTTTCCTTGGTATGGTTTCTGCTGCTTTATAATTGATGGCCAGTGTCCCTGGATGGAGCAGATATGCCACAGCCAGAGAAAATATTCATTTAGGCGGTTTCCTAAGCTTGCCTGACGCTAGGCCTTGTCAGACATACAGATACCCAGGGCCCTTCCGGGATATTCTGACCCAGTTTGGGCGGGTGTGGCCCTGGAATGTGCCTGGTTAACAAGT